TGGCTGAGTTTTCACAGAAGTGCACTCTCACTACAGAAACAAGCAACACATAGATGTAAAGATCTCATAAAATCACTTGGGCACCACTATACACGTTGTATGATTTGTACAAGCTCTTAATTGCAAAAAACGCATCATCTTTCTCTGCCCTAAGTTCCCCAAATTTTCTTCCCTATGGAAAAGTAGAACGTGGCATTAAGTCTCCAAAGCAGAGACTGAGGCACCTTTCCTGTATATACGCAATATACCAAATATCCTGGAACATTTAGGGCTAGCCAGGAACCACAAAGGATGTAAGCCTAAGCACATTTACCCACAGCAACAATTTCCATGCTGCTGCCTCAAAGTCCTCATCTTCCAGGAAGTCAAGCAAAATGGTTTCAGCTTATAGACCCCTCCTCCTAACCCCCAAGCCTAAGCAAACCCCAGAGCAACCATAAGAGCACTAAGCAAGAGCAAGGTTGTTCAAGCAGGAACATTAAGCAGTGAAGTCCAGGGACGCACACAACACAGTGACTGGCTAAAGCAGAGCTGTCGTAACCTGGCCTGTCTCACCCTGCTACAAGAAGCAGTTCAGAATGCATATTTCAGGCACAGGAATAGAAGCATGTCCTAATTATCTCTTCTCTAAACCTTTTCCTCCTGCTGCTTGGAAGTCAGAAGAACAGTATCGGGAAGAAATGTTACATAGATTCGGAAGTTCCAGTTGCACGAGGCACAATAGAGTTACTACTGCATCTGTAAGGTCTGTGCGTATGAAAAAAGACAGACTTGACTTTGGAAACATTTGTTTTGCTAGCACTGCTGGGAATGCATTGCTGTACACCACATGTAAAGGAAAGGTAGACCTTACATGTAGTTACACTAAAAAAAATTGAATAATAGTATTTATTCTATCAGTTTTCACAGATAAACAAAGGGAAGAAGACCATAATCAAGGTGCTCTACAAACCTGCTTACATTTTCAGATGAACTGATCGCCCAGCAGCGTGGGATAAACATTGCTGTGTGCTGTGAGTTCAGAACACTCAAAGCAACAGGTTGAGTGGTAAGATGGCTAACATCTAGTTCATTCATAATTTTCTCATTCCTTATTTGACAGTAACAATAACAGCAACCAATTTGCTGTGTTGGTTTTTTGTGGTTTTTTTTTTTTTGTTTGTTTGTTTGTTTGTTTTTTTTTAAAATAAATGCTTGAAACAGAGTCCCAATCATACTTATTAAAAAAGTCCAGCAAAAATCTACAGCACTAAATATACTAGAGTGTGTGCACTCTTAACATGTACTGGAATAACTTACAGAATCCCAAATGCTGAACAGTTAATGGTTCATCACTGATGTTTCCTGCAAGCTGTCACAGTGAATAATCCTTCCCATAGTATTGAGGGGGGGGAAAGCAGAACAGTTCCTTCCTTCATTGTTAAGAACAGATGTAATAAGAGACCTGCCACAGTACAGAAAGCTTGCAAACCCTTCAAGAAAACGTTCTTATTTAAATAACTAAGTGACCCATTTGTCAGATCCTCTGTTTTAATAAATCAATTTCAATTTTCACTTGCATAATAAAGCACAGACTTTTCCTCAGCTCTAGAACGTAGCACCAGATAAAAAAAAAGACATGTAGCAGACCTGTCTATAGCACTGCTATACAAGAGTTTGTCAAAACCCTAAACCAAAGTAATTCTAAACTCTTGCCTGCCTTCCTTTCTTCAGAAAGACCAACAAAACCAGCCCCTGCTGCACACTCAAATGGTTGAAGTATTTCACTGTAGAGTTACTAGAGAATCAAAGCAGCAAAATAGGACAGTTCTGCTGTGAAACAGTCCTATGTGCTTTAGCCCTCCTCCTCTCTGAGGAAATTCTCCCAAAGCTGAACACCTCGCTCCCTTGAATTCAGAGTCCAGCTTCAGCTACTTCATTATTACATCAGCCACAAACACCATACAGCAAAAACACTAGATGTAAGGAGATATGTCAGAAACATTCATACCACACGAACATGGGATTAAACAGGCAGTCAACTTCACCACATTCACATTATTTTGTGTACAGTTACTCTAAGCTCACTACTCACAACAAAGATAAGGCTTTCTGAGTACACATCCTCTGAGCTAAATGGTTCTCTACCAGTTCCACTGATGGCCTGTCCCACTCTACAGTATAAGCAAGCTAAATACACCACGTGACAAATACCTTCACCACAGAGGTAGAGTCAGACAAATCAGAAGTTCACTGCTAACATGACAAACTCACCTCATCATCGCTGTCCGACGTCTCAGAGTCCGAAGATGCTGTAGGTTTGCTCGCTGGTGGCTCCTTTTCCTCAGAGTCACTTCGTTTCCGTTTGGCCAATGACAAGAGCTCCTAGTGAGAAAAAACACACACTGATTTTAGAAAGCCATAATTAGTTCTACCTATCCAGGTCAGTGCACGCACACCTTCCCTGTGATATTGGAGTGGAACAGGATGATCTCCACTAACTGGGAAACAAAGTCCCCTCGCATTTCATAAATATGCATATACTGAGAGTTTTAATACAGCTGAATGTTACAAAAGGATTTTGAAAGCCTTAAGTATCATCACCATTACTTTTTTGATATAAACAAGATCAAATACATCAACTTTCAGTCAGTGATATTTAAATCAGGTAAAAATTTAGAAAACCCTAATTACATTGCCCGAAAGCCAAATGCCACTAGAGAGAAGTACAATCAGTGCTGGAGCAGTTCATCTTGCTTCCCTTTTATTTTTCAAGACATTTGCAACCATACATGTTATAAAGGAGATATATCACGGCTGATGCTTTTAGTGAGACTGTTCAACTCTGTTTCACTGTCCCTAGGTGCCACGGAATGCACTAAAAGCAGCAGACACACACAGAGCAGGCACCAAGCTCAAACTTGTGAAGCAACCCCAAAAGCCACACAGGTAATCACAAAGAAGTAACGGCTCACGAATAAACTCACAGTTTACTGTGAGTAAACTCTAACAGACTGTTCAGGTGACAGAAGCAGTAATTCAAAACAATTATTTCTGAAGCTGCAGTACTGCCTTTGTAGTCCATGACAAATAATTTACTATTAAAACATTGCTCTGGGGCTGATGAATCTTAGTGGTGAGTAAAAATAAAGCCACACCAACTTCTGCAGGCTTGGGAAGACAATACTGGATGGGCTTGAATGAATTTCACAACTGGAAGATTATCTCCACAGCAAACAGATTAGAGTTTAGGACCACAAATGAGAATGTAAACATTGCTGAAACTGACAGCCTATGCTTTTACCAACAAAGTTGGCAATGACACTTCACAAATCGTGTTCTGAAGACAACATGCTACACTAACAGAACGTATTTATACAATAAGCAGCTTTCTTTAGGAAGCACCTGGTGTTTTCTACAATCATTTTCTAGACATCACCTCTAACAACTGTTGCTAAGTAGTACTTACTCCAGCACAGATTACCCTCCATCATGATACCCCGGAGTTAACATTCACTGCTGCCTTTACTCCAAGCAGTTTGCCTCTTTCTTTCTAGCTTTACTCTTTCCATTTTCTGTGTCAGCACATGAGAAAGACTCCTACTCCTTCAACTCAATCAGCCCAGCTCCCTGCCAAAAGCTGTCAAGCATTTAACCAACAGGGGCCTCACTCAGCAAACACTCATCCTTGAAATCTCACCTCAGGAACAGCCCCGCTGCAGTTTCCACCCTTGCATGTGCATGTCCCTGCTGCGCACAGCTCCCCAGGGGACAAAGCAAAGGCAGACAGCTTTGGTATCACCACCAACCAGCACTGAAGTAGAGCTGTCGATGCACACTCTTAGCAAGTAGCAGAACTGTGCAGTTGTTGCTCCACCATCACTCCGCTCGCCTTATCTACACTAGGGTTAGACCAACTCCTCCCGTTTTCAGGTTCTGAAGCGACCAAAGAATTAATACAGCAGGGTGAGAAGCTGACAGCTTTAGAGGGCAGCAGTACTATCAAGGCAGGCTCTACTATGGAATGTTTGTCTAAAGGGGCGTAGAAATTGCAGCTCCAGTCTGCAAAAGCATTTCTGAGCATTTGAGGCCGGTGCTATTTATTTATTTGCAACACAGCAACAGCTTCTCTGTTAAAAACTCAAGGTCCGGCACACAACTTGAACAGACGCATGGGCTCCAACACGTGAAACCAACCTAACTTCTTTACAGAAGAAAGGTGACCACAGAAGACACACCGCACTCGGCCTACGTCTTTATTTACCACCTGTCAGCACGTGCCGCCCCGAGAAGGCCCGTCCAGAGAGGAGCGCATCCCCTCCCGGCGCCCCGCGATTCCCACGGCGCGATGCCCCACGCCGCACCCCCAGCCCCGGGCCGCCGCCGGCAGGGCACGCGGTCCGAGTGGTTTCCACCGGCGGAGCCGGGCCGGCAGGGCCCGGGAGGGAGCACCAGTTCGCAAGCCCCCGGGACCGGCGGTACGGCCGGGCACGCCACTCCCGGCGGGGCGGGCGGTACAGCGCAGCTTCCCGCGCCCTCAGCCCTCCGGGCGCTGCCTGCCGCCGGGCCCCCCGCCCGCGCCTCAGGAGCCCGAGGGCCGAACCCACGCGCGTCCCCGCGGGCCCACAGCCGCCGGCACGGCCGGGCCGAAGCGGCGCCGAGAAGTCTCTCCGCGCAGCCCCCGCGGGGGCCGCATCCCTGCCGGGCCGAGGGGAGGAGGGAGGGAGAAGAGAGAGGGATGGCGGCTCCCAGCCCCGCGCGGGCCGGAGGGCCCGGGCCGGGCCTCCCCGCGCACCTGGTCCAGGTTCTCCTCGCTGCCGCTATCCTCGGTGTCGGAGTCGATGAGGACGCGGCCTTTCCGCTTCTTCACCATGGCGGAGGCGGCTTCCCCGCGTCCCTCTCCGCCGGCGGCGGCGCGGCGCTCCGAGCGGCCCGGCCTGCCCCGCGCCGCCCGCCCGACCGGGACACAAAGGGCACCGCGCATGCGCACAGCGCCGGGGCGGGAAGGAGGGCGGGGCTGCCGCCGCCCGCGAGGGGAGAGTGCTGCCTCGGTGGTCTCCGCGCCTTCCTAGCTTCGGGGGTCGGGGCTCCGTGTCGAGGCCGCTCCTCCGGCCTTTTCTCCGTGCAGTCAGCGTGCCGCTCCTCCCCGTCCCCTGCGAGCGGTCGTGTGCCCCGCTCCGCTCCTCGTTCAGCACAAAGACACGGGGAGGGCTTCTCCGTTCTTCCGCGCCGTGGGTCGGGGCGGGCGTTCGGCCGCTGCCACCAGCGGAACCCGCGCGGCGCGGAGCGCGTTCCTTTCCGGGCCCGGAAGCGCCGAGGAACCGCAGTAACGGTGAGCGGCTGAGGTGAGCGGAGCGGAGCGGCGGGAGCGGGCCCGTGAGTGAAATCGCTGTTGTTACGGCGGGGCCCGTCCTGCAGCCTGATCCGGAGAGAAGCGCGGCGTTGATGAGCGTCCTTTGAGAAGCGCTGCTCCTCAGGTCGTTCTTGCTGCTTGTTGCTCGGCAGTGCCTAAACGTATATGGGGTGAAAGGGATTAACAGGAATAGCTTTTCTTCTACTGTGTAATTTGACTCTTCGGTGTTTTGGTATTTCGTGGGGTGAGAACGTACTGGGAGAAATACTGAAACAAACTAGGGGGCCGAGAAAGTGTAATACTGGGCATTCATTGTTATTCCTTCTTTCCTAATGGCTTGGATTTCTAATTAATATCCTTTCTATAAAAAAAAAGTGCACCCAATGCTTGTAAGACTTTAATTTTTCTTTTCTCTTTTTCATTGAAGGTGGAGATTAACTGCAGTAACAAACCAAGATACCTCCAGATACTAATTTGGCTGTTAAATTAATTTCAAACCCATAAATTGCCTTGCTGGAAGCAAATTCTGTGTCTTTACCAGCATGGCTGTAGCTGTTACGTTGCTGAATAGTGTGTGCTTACAAGGTAGATGCTGCAGACACAAAGTTTTGCAACCTTTGCTTGGAACTCTCCGTGTTGATTCCATGTCAAAATGTTACAGCAGTTACAGGAGGCCAGGGTCACAGCCTGAGGTAACACCGTCTTGGCGAAACATTGATTTCAGCTTTAAGAAGGGCATTAATGCCTTAAAGACTCAGCTAAGCTTGCTGAAGAAGGAGACCGAAGACCACCTAAAAGGACCTGACGGCCATTCGTTCAGTCAGTACATGTTGGAACAGACAAAAGTGATGTGGGTGTTTCGGAGCCAGGAAGATTTAAATAAATGGGTTATTTCCTCCGATGTGGAGATTGGAGGAAAAAGTGAAGTTTACCTAAAATTGGGTAGGAACAACCAGGGTGCTATGCTGTATGGAATACTCAATACTGAAGTACCTCGCGATGGGGAGACAAAATACAGTGGATATTGTACTATGAGAGCCAAACCAGCAGTGGTAAGTACAGCATCTGTTATTTGAGTGCTTTTCTATAATTCCAGTGATGACAAGTGGACTGTTGTTTACTGTGGTTGTAACTGACCACCTTCAGGATTATGACATGCTCTGTTTGTATAGATGTCACTGCTGTTGTATCCACTGACCTACTGACCTGGAAGGAACTTGAAAGTCTTACTCAGCTTTTCTCTTTTCTTAGAAGACAACACGTTTGGTCATTTGCTGATGTAACATCGCTTGTTAAGACAGTCCTGTTTGCAGCCTCATCGCAAATGAGGAATTTGTAGTGAGCTTTTAGATCTGAAATTGATATGATTAAAATTGATGAGTCTCCGAATTTTAAATTCATTGCATGTGTCGTAAGGACAAATATGCTGGGCTTCAACTGGGTCTCTTTATCAAACTTAGTTTAGGCAAGTTTGTCTTTATTTCCCTCGCAGGAAATTAATGCTTTGAGACGTTTTTCTAAAAGTCTTGCCCCTACTGTGTATCAGAAAAAGCAAGATAAATGTTCGATAATTTTGAGTTGAACAAAATATAAGCGTATGGCTCCTATCGCACTGCTTCTTTCATTCCTTTTATTTTAACATCCTTAAAAAGAAAAATAACACTTTGACTTAGCATGTTACTAAAAACCATTTTAGTCTGTTCTGTTGTTTATGATTCAGCACGAGTAAGCAGCTACAAGTCTTCTGAACTGTAAACCTGGAGAGCAGAGAATGTCAGCAAGGAAAATCAACAGGCAAACGATAGGCAGAATGCCATGGACTGGTGTGAACACCACAGACTGGTGGCACCAGCACAGGGGAGTTGGGCAGGAAGTTGCATCTCGTTAAGAGTTAAATTGCTCTGGCCTTGCGTGAATGTGACTCAAACTTTCTTCTCCTAATTTTGAAGTAGCAAAGTGTCTGTCAGTCCATCTTTGTAATACAGTTTGAGATCAAAAGGTGAAAGCATGAATACAAAAACTTATTCAAGTTAAAAGGGTCAAAATTGGCAAATCATAAAATCAAGTAGCCGCAGTCTTTGCATTAATGGGTTAATTGTCTACTGATTGTGAGCTTATAAAAGGAAGGCTAATTAGGTAACTGTAGTAACAATATCAAGTTAAGGAGAAACCTCTGGATTTTTGGTGCAAATTTTGGTTTGGTTTGAGCAATTCTGGCCAAGAATATCTCCAATGACACCCTCCTGCTCCAGCGACCTCAGTAACATTCTGCAGAGGTTACTGGGTCTGTCAGAGTGCGAATCACGACTTTGGGACTTGGAAGATCTTCGGAAAATACATATGAGGATTGAATGTGCTTGTAATCCAGATCATTGTGCACAGTTAGTGTCAAAAACTGTTGGAAAATGTGCTTTTAGTGCTCACGTCAGTCTTCAATAAAGAAAGTAAGTTACCATAGGGGATAAATTATCCCACATTGTAACCTCTTCTGAGTAGTGTAGTGCTAACCACTGAATATTAAACTTAACTACAGGCCTGGTGTGCTATTACAGAATTTGTGTCCTTGCCTAGGAGGGGATTTAGTCTTAGGATATAAATCTGCTAATTACAAGATTTATAACTAATGCATGGATCTTCAGAGCGGTGATGCTACGTTTTGTGGGCTCTCATACAGTGCTGAAGGAAATTCATTGAGATGAGACTGGTCTGATGAGAAAGGACCCCATCTTCACTGTATCACAGTAGATACTGCTTGTAGTGAGAACAAGGGCAGTGATTCAAGCAGTAGCACTTTGCTCTTCATAATGGAGATTTCTTTTTAAGTATGAAAGGAATAATTCTATTTATTAATATTTGTAGGGATCTTTTGCCAGGAAGAAGTATTATGACTGGTCAAACTTCAACAGTCTGTATTTACGTGTCCGTGGCGATGGCAGACCTTGGATGGTGAACATTTATACAGACCCTTACTTCTCCCATCAAAAGGATGACCTGTACAACTACTTCATGTTCACCCGAGGAGGACCGTACTGGGAGGAAATAAAGGTAAACAAATGAGTAATAATTAGTAACGAATAATTAGTAACACTAATTATATTAATACAATAATATGTTGATATCTACTAAGTATTTTAAATAATCTACCGTGTGTCTAAGTGTCCTAAGTGTCTGTTGTTTGCTGTTACAGGAGGCAGACCTTTGAGTTATGCTGATGCTATACATATGTAATATATATTATACTATATACTGTACTATAGTATGGGAATATATATGTACTATAATACATACATTATGACAAATGTATGTGTATACTTGAATGTTATGAATTTATTAAAAAAAAAAAAAGCATCAAATTCTACTCCTATCTGAAATTGGCTTCCTGAGCTGAGGGCTCATTTATTCAGATTAACAAAAAGACCCACTAAAACCAGAATCTACTGGTTGTCACACCTGTGTGTGGGGCTGTACTGGGGCTCAGGAGCACCTGCCATTCTGTACCTGTGATTGTCTGGAATCCTGTGGGTTGCCTTTTCTTAACACTGGAAAACAAACAAGCAGCCAGGCAGGGTGCATAGTTAGCTCATACAGTGGGTGGTCAGAGTGTGCACTGAACAGATGCAGCTACTGGAGCTTTGCAGGCAGTGCCAGGAACTTTCTATGCAATTACCATTTTATCTGTAATAATAAATGGACTTGATGTAAGATTTCTACCCTGCAGTGTGGTTTGCCAAACTTGGAGTCAGTTGGAGCCTCGGAGGTATGTGGGCTGTTAGGCACAGCTTTGAATCTATGACATGCAGTAACGTTGGCAAGAAGTGGGAGTTTCAGCTCTTTTCTGAGGACACTGAAGTGTGTCACTGCTGGCCTGTGTGTGTTCCTCACCCACACCAGCCAGTTCTCTTCTCTTGTATCATCGTTATATTTTTGCGAACTGTTTTGCTAGACTATTGATGTCTTTGAATGAAATTTGCAGTACAAAATATGCAGATTGGATGTAGATGAGCTGTCGGTGAGCTTACAATGCATCCTAGACTTTTTATTAATTTAAGCTGACATTGCTGGAAGGAGATATTCTGGATGTGAACGGCTGTCTTCCATGCTTCAGCCCCTCCTGTGCCCTGGCTGGCTCAGAATCCAGCACAACAGCTGGAAACGGCTGCCACAGGGCAGCGTGGGGCTGGAGCTGGCAGCATGTGGCTAATGGGTGACGCTTCTTTTCACTGATTCTTCGGACCCTGGAGTGCTGGTACCAGATTTGGTGTTACTTTCTAAGGCAGCTGTTTGTTTTTCTTTTTTCCCTTGGGGTTTTATTCTATAGACTGGTGACACTAAAGTCCATTTTTCTTTTGTTTCTGCTGTCAGATTCCGTTCTCCAAATTCTTTCTGTCCAGTCGAGGAAGAGTACAGGATGACCAACACCCTATCTGGTTAGACAAGGCAAGTTTTCTATAGGCTTAATCTGTCAGAAACATACTTTGAGATTGTATTGTTGTTGTATAGGTAATTGAGAAATCCTTGGGATATTCAGTGGTTTTAAATTTAAAATTCAATAAGAGTCTCTACTTGTTTTAAAGTACTTATTCCTGTGTGCATACCTTTGCATACAAATTATCCTACTTTGTGATTTCAGTGTCAATTTACTTCAAAGTAGCTCCACAGATATTTTTAAGAGATTTAGATAACTTGTCTGTTAAAAAATAAATAGTTTTTTTTAAAGGAATGACCAAAGTGACTGAGATATCTAAAATGCAATTTGGCACAGTACTGCCAAAAATAATAAAAGCAAGCATGTATCACAGGCAACGTATCTAGGCATTACGAAGGGATAAATTCCTCAGTACACAGAGTTTAGGTGACTCCTGCAGTCAGTCACCTGTAACAGAAAGCTTTAAAACTTCTGTAGCCTGCACAAGCCAAGAGCTGACTGCAGAGCTCACTTCTGGAGAAGATAAAGCAATTGAATCCTTAGAATCAATCTGAGGAGCGTTACTCTGCTCTACCACCTTAGCTTTACTCTGTTACTTATTTAGCATGCATGTGCAACTTATGTTTATCCTCAATTCTCAGCAAATTCTCAGCATGCAGTTATTCAACTTGAACCTGACACATTCCTGCATGTACGGCAGCCCTTAAAGTCATGGGTATGGATCAGACCTGCACTTCCAGCGCAGATTCCCTAATCCCTAAAATACCAGGAGCTTTGTAGGTGTTCAGCACTTATCACCCAACTTGATTTGAGAACCAGTAACACTGGAGTCTCTGAAAGGTTGGTGATGGACAAGAGCAGAAGGCTTTCAAGGCATATGCTACAGGCTAATGGGGGACATGTCTGAGCTCCAGGAATTTGTATGGAGTTTATTACAATTAGAATAGAGTTGTTATTAAATAAATTAGTGTTGCAATTGAGAATGAATGAGGGATATTTTGAAAAATGCTATTGTAACTGGAAAACTATGGCTAAATAACTCAGTGTGTGGTATAAAATTCAGGAGTAGTTTTGTGTTTTTCAAAATGTTTGCTTTGGGGGCACTTTCACAATGTACCATCCATCCTTAATTACATTCTATTTGTGCTTCCTGTTCACATCAAACTGCTAAAAAAAAAAAAAGTGACAGAAGTATGTTATTAATTCATCTTATCGTGACCAAATTGACAATATTCAGACCTCGAAGGCTGAAAATGCCAGTATTGCTCTAGACTCAGGCCATTTTCAATATGTTTCAACCTAATGGTAGAAAAGCACCTGTGAATCCCATTGGAGCCTGTAATGAAAATGTAGTAATAAAGCATTTGTGCCTTTGGAGATACTGCTGCATTTTGAGCAGATACCCCTCTTTTAAACTGAACTGTTGTGAACTATTTGTAGGATGTGGAAGTGGTAGTTACAGGTTGTAACATTATTTTAAGATTTATTCTAATGTATGCATCTCCTTATTAGATCAGTACCCTTGGATTCACACTGGGAGATAAAGTAGATGGTCCCTTCCAGCTGGAGATTGATTTTATTGGCCTGCTAAATGACAGAGCTCACACAGAAGAATTTGCCTATGAAACATATGAAAGGAATCCTAGAATATAAGTTGGTTTTGTGTCCTTTGGAACATTCATCAGCTGCTTACTTAATTTTTAAGCATTTTATAAAGTGTGAGAATATCCTTCGAATTATAATTATGTAAACATTAAATGTTAAGTGGATGAAGTGTTGACTCAGTAATCTGACTAGACTGACACTGTTGGCATCATCAAGCTGCCACCAACAGGCTGAGAGCTTGTACCTACAGGAACTGGAATACAGCCTGGTGAGAGCTGCAGTACATGCTTACTGTGTATTAACTGCTGTCTGGGTACATTTTAACTTTTGCCCTGATCTTTAGGGGAATAAAAGTATTCTGTTAACGTGGTGTTGGTTTTTTGTACTCAGTTTGATTTTCTAATACACTGTTTATAGGGCTGTAAAAGACTTGAAAAATAGGTTGTAACTGGAGAAGTTACAGTGTGAATTAATACAGTGATAGTACTGCTGAAGTGTGTCACAGCTTCTGAAATTTACAAAAGAACAGGACCTGAAATATGTCAGACTTGAACTTTTGGCACCGTAGGGAACTAAAAGAAAAACCTGCTGCTGCCAAGAGCAAACAGTAGCACTGAAGGGGATTTAGCTCTTATTTTAGAGTTATGGGTGATAAGAGCTACAAAGCAGTAAGACTAAGCTGTTAAACAGAAGTAAGGTTCCAGGCACTGGCAATTCCCTAGAAATGCACCTCAGCTTTATTAACACTCTTACCCACAGCCTATGGCCCAGGAAGAACAGGTGATGCTTTTCTGTGGTGTTGTTAGTTAACTGTGTTGCAGAAAGGCACAGTGTCAAGAGGTGGGGCAAATGCTCAGTTCCCCAACCCCTCTTTTTTTGTCATCCTCAGTAATTTAAGAAATACTTTAAAGAACAGTTGCTGAATAGTTTCATTTCAGATGTCACAAATAGTCTAGTCAAAGCCTTGACATCATTTAGTGTACCCTCCTTAAATGTACCTTAAAAAAAACTAATCTTAGCTCTGCTTTATATGGAGACCACAACAAAGCAAGTTGACACCATCTTGCATCAGCAGTTTCCTCTTGCACAGATTTAGATTAAGAGCAGAAGGGGAGCAAAGCTTATACTTCCTACTGGTGTCAGAACACTAATGCATTCACAAAAGGGTATGCAGGCAAATCAGTACAGAAACAAATCTGTTCAGAGATAACTGAGTAACATGCAAACAGAACTGGTGCTACACTAAGGAGGTAGGTAGAGGTAGTCACAATAGATAACTGGTAATAAACAAGGTATGTACAAAAAAATTTATTTCCCCCCCATTTGGTTTATAAAAACAATTAAGCTTTATGTTTCAGCATTTGATATGACAGCACTGAAGTATTTGCTCACCTAGTATTTTTGAAGTACTAGTATTTGCTGAGATTACAACTGCTGAGTTACCTTTCCAGTCACAGTTTCATCCATAACACATCCAAATAGCTTTTCTGAGCCTTTTTTTTTTTTTTAAATAACATTAGTTTTTGCATTTAAGGCATTTAAACATCTCACTCTTCTTAACATCTTTGAAGTATTTCAGTTGTTTTTTTTTTTTAATCTGTTTATTCTAGAAAGGACCAAGCCCAACCATAACTGATCTAGGCATCCAGTACTAGTTTGTAAAGCCACTTTTCATCTGTGACCTTACTGAAAAAAAAAAAATAATCATAATTCTGCTATGCCTTGTAGTTTTCTGTAAACGTTGTAGATTTCCAGAAAGCATGCATATTTCTTTCCCTGGAGATTCCCTACCATTTCACAGATCTACAGTAGGACACACTGAACAGTTGCTACAGGTTTTAAGGATCCACTTGGATAACAGAGCAAGCAGATATCTCAGTTCCTTTAATTGACCAGTGGAATGTTTTGAAGCTTGCAATCCAAACTATGCATTCTAGTGGATAACAAACATTTTGGTGAAGTCTGCACCAAGTTATTAGGAGGCTCCACGAGCATCTCTTTCCTACTTGCATTTTCTCCTTTGACATCTTTTAGTTACATGAGATACATAGTGTGATACATAGCAACGTTAGAAAATATCAGTAACCAACTGGAGAGTTCTGCAGCTAGAGACAGTTCTCCAAGGAGATGAGAGTTCTAAACATTTAAGAGCTTAGGAGCTGATTGGTAAAACGTTATGCTCAGATGCACTGTAAGGTCTTATTCAGTCATCTGTGGATTCTACCTAGCTAATAAACAACCTGACCCATACTCTGAAGCACAAACAGCACAAATATTTACATGCGAGAAACAGTATTTACAAGTGAGATCCTAGCTATTTCTGGTTTTACCTAACCCATAGATAGTCCTCTACGGTTTCTAAGAGCCTGAGCTTTCTTCTTTTTTCTCTCCTGCTCATGCTTCTCCCGCCTGTCTTCCCTAAAGGAGAAAAAGGAGAGAGACCATTTCAGATTACAGTAAGAGCAAAAATAGAAGCAACCTCAGAAATATGAAGTTAACCAGGGCTTAATACCTGTTTTAACAATGTGCAACATTAGCTATGCAAAAGAAAACTGCTCCAGTTAGACATTAGTCTGAATGTTTAGATTCAGTTGAAATACTTAAGCTTAGATGCGCAGATCTAACACTCAAGGTAGCAACTCATCAATACCCAGTTTCTTTTGAGATAAATCACCCAGTGCTGGAATTGATAGCTTTTCACAGGAGATCTATCAAGTCCATAGCTGCTAGATAGGTATTGAACTACAAATATGAATACAAACTGTTCTTTCCTAAACCGTATATTTTAATGCTTGAAGAGATAATCAAGTCACGATGTTATTTTAAATGACACTACTCATAAAAAGCTGTTGTACAAAGTGTTGTACTGACCTTGTCTGGAGATGTGGCTGTTTGTAGTCTCTCTTATGTGAAGTGATGCTGCTGATGACAGACCTCTTTGGGGGAGCATTTTCCTTAAGTTCTCCCCAAGGTTTTAGCCGTCCTACAAATTAGAGGCAAAGAGAGGATACTGAACTACTACAGCTTAGCAACAGCATGCTTAACAACTTCTTGTGAATTTTACACTAGCTAGCTTCTCCTTGGCTGGCTTCCTTTGAGAGAAAATGCCTCTTCAGCTGCATAATACATTAGCTTCATCAGCCCATTTCTTATGAGCAGTTTTCCAGGTAGCAGTCTCTATGCAACAAACACTTCAGATGTTTTGCTTTTGCTAAGAAAGTGCACTTTTTAAGCAAGCATTATTGTGTACAGAATTATCCATATATTCTGTATATCCAACATAATACAAGAATGTTTACTCCTCTATTTATGAAACTTTTGTTAGAGATTTTTTCTCCAGTAGGGAGACTCTCAGAACACATGAAGTAGGATTTTCATATCAGTGCACAAACTATGTGGAAATCTCAAGAAATGGGGTAAAAAAAGAAAGCCAATTCACACCACGATGTAGAAAGTTTGCTCAGTGGCTTATTTTATGAACACTTTGCTATAAATAACACTACCAATGCATGATCACAGTACCTTTGTGTGGTTGATACCGAAGCGGCCTTGAAAGACTTGCTTTGAGATCAAATATCTTCTTGGTGCTTGAGGGTTCTGCAGATTGAGCTGTGAACTTGAACGGGGTAATAGCTACAAAAGGCATCAAGATATCACTTACTAATGGTAGCAGGAACATCGGTGTACAAAGCAACTCAGGAAGTGTTTGAGGACCATGTGACAACTGTCAAGACTAAAAAGTTATTAAACGCTGCCTTCTGCCACTAAGGAAGAAATTGCAAACAGCTCACTGGCAAAAGGAAGCTTCCAGAGAGGGCAGAAGTCATGAAATACCTTTTTGCTCTGATTTTAGATAGCATTCTGGTAAGCAGCAGATCTGCTACACCTCAGGTCAGTTGAAGTCATTCTCACATTAGTTCAGAATCCCTGGATTCACTGATCACACTGTAACTCTCACTTTACTAACGTCTAAAAGCACACATAACACTGTATGTCATGTTAGTAGCTTCTCACTGTTGATGCAAGAGGAACAGCCTACAGCCATGAGTAGGTAAGTGAATTAGTTATGTGGCAATGCACTGTGTCTGCTCCACACAGCTCACAGCACAGCCAGCCCCTCACCATCAGGGCAGCAGCTCCGCAGCCATTACTCAGCAACAACCAGACAGCCTTGTGCTATTTATTAACCCCATCTGTGCTGAGACCAGGGCACGGGGGGTGCAGTGCAGTGCCAGCTCGAGGAACAGCAAATAAGCTCCTGCATTTTGACACACTGGCTAAACAGTCCTGTGAACAGCCAAACAAATACGCAGCCTTATGCTCTGCATTTTGATGAAAGAATTGAGAACAGGTTTCAAGACTGCCAAAAAAATTATTGATTTTTTTGGTCTGTTTGCACTTCCGTTTTCAGTCAACATAAATGTGTGTTCTGTACATTTTCAAATGGAACAGATAAAGTTGCAATCAGATACTCAACTTGAAACTGATCGTGTCTCTCTGCTGGATTTCTGCACGCACTCTCTTACCAGAGAGAAATACCTCTGACTTCACATCATGTCTTATTCATGCCATCACCTTTTTGGCAGTAAACAGTTTGTGAACAACTCTTGTGCTTTCAAGGATGAAGCATAGGAGTAAAATTTCATCAGAAATCTCCTCACTAGAAGTGCAGCTCTGCCACTGAGTGTGGCTGATGCATTAGTTTAGCAAAACCAACATCCACTGGTGTTTTTCTTTTGCTCACAATTGTTATGTTTTAATAAAAAATATTAAGCATTTAAATGTTTTGTTACTGATGCGTGTTAATTACAGTATATATTGTACAAAGGCTGCTCCAAAAGTAATGCCTCCTATTTTATTATGTTGGCCAGTGATGTCAGACATGGATGTTGGTGGTACAGCAGCAGAGGTTGAACCTTCCCACCAATATTCCATTACTTCTTGTTGTTGCGTGACAACAACAAGACAGACACCAGTTGGTCAGACTGCCCCTCTGCCGTGGAAGCAAAGGTGTAGAAATGAATTCCTCATTGTGGAAAAAGCAGCACAGGTTCACATTTGTTGATGCTTAGCTGAATGCCTATGGAGGCTAAACAGCAGTTGTGAACAGTGAGTGGAGACTTAAAAGAAAAAAAACATAGCATGTAGGTGCTTGTTCATTGCTTGCAAAATGCAGAGCAAATGGTGATTATGTTGAAAAATAGCATTTTGTAGCTGAGAATTTGCTCTATCAAACAGTGCCACTGTGCTCTTTTCATCCATTGAAGTTTCAAAGAAATTAAATAGGAGGCATTACTTTTGGAGTAATCTACATATATGCAGCCCAGTGCATTTGCTTCTCACTCAGTGTGGCCAAGGCGAGCCAAAAGG